ATTGCGGCGTCGCAAAGCCTCCAAGGGAGGCTCGATCGTAAACTGAATTGGCCTAGGAACTGTTTAATTGCGAACAGTTACTTGTAATTAAATATGCGTAAAACGAAATACAATTTTGTTTGAAGAACTTCAGCATGAAAACAGTTAAGTACAGTTGGTTTTTTGGTTCCAGTCAGGCTGTCGATTTTTAGCTGGTTATTGCTTTAAAGGATGTTAACGTTAAGTTAATGTTAGAGTTTTTCTTTTTGATCACTTAGTATGCAGATTAGCCAGCTCCGTGCTGATCTCATTTCTTTTTTCTATTCCTAGAAGAAAACGTTTACGTCTAAGTTTTGTTGTAAACTAGGGTTATTAATCGTGCCCCCGTCAGCAATCATTACTGCCATGCTGGTGGTGAGAAGGGCTGGGGCGCAGTAGTCTCTTTATGTGAAGCTGTAATGCTCCAAAAAAAGGGACTGCTGAACGAGATTGGGAGAGGGCCGATCTCGAGCTTAGAGGTCGTCGGTGGCGATACCAGCCGCCGACGCGGCCGACGAGCTGCAAGAGAGCGGAGATCTCTGATTGCATGAAAGGAAAATAATGCGGTAGAGAATAGCGCCGCCACGTATTGTTGGAGAGATTGAGTTAGGCGTTACATCGATTGGGAACCAGAAATCACATGGTCTAGAGCCTCCCCAGAGTAGGGCGCCTCATGGCGGTGGTTTATAGATGAAACACCAGATACAGAACTTTCATTCAGTAAAATTATGTGGAAAATTATGTTATTAAGTTACGTATTGTATAGTTTACATCTTTGTGTTTTGTATTGAAAACTGTTAAGATACTTGGAATAGAGATCGGTCTTGAATATATTTTCAGAAGGCGTCCTGCATGTGGAACTATCAATATCTCTCTGTGAATTTAACGTTCAAGTGAACATCAAATAATTTTATACATTCAGTTATTAGACTCAGGTACCGCTCGCTCCGCCTCCGGCGCTTGAGGCGCCTAACGTGGATGACGACCACGTGCCTGAGGTCACTGGGGTGGAACTAAGGGTGGCGGTGTTACGGCTTAAAGCTAAAAACACCGCCCCGGGACCCGATGGCATTCCTGGCCGAGCGTGGGTCCTGGCCTTAGTCGATGAGGCTCTCGAGCCCCGACTCCCAGGGTTCTTCAGCGCATGCCTCGAGCGGGGCCAGTTTCCGAAATTGTGGAGGACGGGGAAACTGGTCCTCATCCGAAAGGAGGGGCGCCCGGCGGACTCACCGTCCGCCTACCGGCCCATAGTGTTGCTTGACGAGGTGTGCAAGCTCTTTAAAAGAGTGATTGCAAGGCGCCTCGTCAAGCATATCGTGATGGTTGGGCCGGATCTGGCGGACAGCCAGTACGGTTTCCGTCAGGGGCGCTCCACCGTGGATGCGATCATGCGCGTGAAGGCCCTGGCGGAGGAAGCAGACTCCCGGGGCGAAGTGGTGTTGGCGGTGTCCTTGGACATCGCCAACGCGTTCAACACTATGCCCTGGAGCTGCATCAGGGAGGCGCTCCTGTATCACGAAGTGCCTCTCTACCTCCGCCGCATAGTCGGGGCATATTTGTCGGAGAGAGCCGTCGTCTACCCCAGTAGGACCGGTCTCGGTAGGCGTGAAATATCGTGCGGTGTTCCGCAGGGGTCGGTGTTAGGGCCACTCTTGTGGAACATCGGCTACGACTGGGTGCTTCGTGGTGCCTTCTTGGATGGTGTCGCCGTCGTGTGCTACGCGGACGACACACTCGTGACGGCGCGCGGCAAGACGCACCACGAGGCAACCCTGAGGGCCACGGCCTGGGTTGCCCAAGTCGTTGAGCGTATCCGGCGGCTGGGTCTCGAGGTGGCTCTGCACAAGTCCGAGGCCCTGTTCTTCCACGGGCTTCGGAGGAAGCCGCCTGAGGGATCTAGCCTCACGGTAGGAGGTACTCGCATCGGCATCGAGCCCTCGATCAGGTATCTGGGGCTCGTACTCGATGGCCGATGGGACTTCGGATATCATTTCCGAGGTCTGGTCCCCAAGTTGGTTGGGGCGGCGCGTGCGTTGGCGCGGCTACTGCCCAACATGAAGGGACCCGATGACTCCTGCAGGAGACTCTACTCGGGGGTTGTGCGGTCCATGGCCCTTTACGGGTGCCCAGTATGGGCGGGGGCTCTGAAGGCCAGCAACGTCGCAATACTGCGACGACCGCAGCGAGTGCTGGCCATCAGGATCATAAGGGGGTACCGCACGATCTCCTGCGGCGAGTCTCCTGGCCGGAACTCCACCGTGGGACCTGGAGGCGAGAGCCCTTGCGGCTCTGTATCAGTGGCGCAAGGAGGCGCGGGAGTTGGGTCGATGCCCCGAGATTCGAGAAATCGATGACCGGAAATCCCAACTCCGCCAGGTCATCATAGGGGAGTGGAGGGAACGACTCGGGCAACCGAGCGCCGGGCACGCCGTCATCGCGGCGGTAAGACCCGTTATGGAGGATTGGCTCGAGAGGCGTCACGGGACCCTCTCATACCGACTGACGCAGGTGATCACTGGTGGTATCCGAGGGGATTTCCGCACGGAAAAAAAAAAAAAAAAAGGTACCGCTCGCGACATTTCGTGTTTGATTTGAAACATTTGTATTTCTTGCAGAACTTCGTTCCGACCGGGGGTCCGCAAGAAGTGTTGGAAAAATATCTTGTTACCCATTTTACGATCTCACTCCCATCCCTTCAGAGCGTGTGACTCGCGATAAGGCATTTCGTTCCAATAAAGGTCTTGTACATTATGTATCAAATAAGTAAGTTTTTCAGAAATACTTACTTAAATAATTTCATTTCTATTTCGGTTTATTAAAAATAAGCTTCAAATTTTTCATCAAGAACTTTTTACACTTACTATTTAATATAAAATGGCGTAGTTTTTCACCTTGTAACTTATCGTTTCATGTACCTATCAAAGAGTACCTATACAAACACTCTGTGAGTTCATCTGTATCACATTACACAGAATAAAAAGGATTAAAAGAATGCAAGTGACAGGTTGTCATTAATTGAGTGATTTGAAATAATATATTTCATTAACTAAAATATATTATATGATATATGGAAAGTTGTTTTTTTACAAAAATATAAGAAATCGATCGGCATTATGTTAAACATTGAATTTGAAATTGAAATATAGTCAATAGTGCATGTGTTTAACTAGAAATTCCTCACCGTGGCCCTCACTCTGCTCCATAGTGTGTAACCGTATAGCTTACGCGTAATACTTAAGTGATAAAATTGTAAGTGCCATACAGCTTAACATACTCATATGTAGATTGCAGGAAAATCCATAGCGGTCTACAGTCATGAATGGAAGTACAAATATTGTACGAACACTTGCAACTTATCGTACGGAACCCTTTAAACAGCAGAGTTCTTTACCTTTTCTATTCCTTTTTTTTTGTCTGTGCGGAAATCCGGTGGTTATGTAGGACATAAACCGACCAAAAATCGCACGCCGTCTCGGGTACCGGTAGTCGGGAAACTAGGTGTACCCTAGGAAGGAACTTCCTGGAACCCCGACGGACCTCGGGCCATCTACGGCCTGTAGATGACCCCATCGTGTGTGAGCTTTTCTTATTCTAAAAAAAACATCATTTTGAGCGGTTGATCGCTTCGATGTCCGCATTCACGTAACAAAGGGTAACAAATTGGATATTTATATATCTACATATAATATAAATCCTTTATATTAATAATTTGTACTATAATATTAATAATTGTTTGTACTATATACGTACTAGCTGAAGTTAAGCACTCCAAGCATTTTTATGACAATTATTACTAAACGAATATTTTACTTATAAAGTTTTGTAAGTTACGTAAAAACTCAATATTGAAATGTCTTTCTTCGTCGTGGCTACTAGATTTCTTTTTTGTCGATTGATTATTGTCGATTCACTATTTGCCTATAACCTCTCTTTAGGTACTGACTTTTAATTTCGCCAGTTGATTTTGCTTTCATGAAATTTTAATTACAATTTTAATATCACTTCATACTAGTAAGATTTCAATACCCAAGGGCATTTTAACCTACTTGTAAGTGTTGTTTTACATTGCACTTCTTAACTTTACTTAACAATGTTTATAATTCTTGAACAGTTTTCAAACATCTCACTTCACGATACTTTTATAAATACCCATGTCTCCAGGTTCACATTTTTTTTAGTAAATGGCGGCTAATTTGCCACGTACTTGAAAGAGTTAAAGTTCTAAAAGTAATAACATAAAAGCTACAGCTGTTATTATGATTAATTAGATATATTGGACATGTTTTTTCTAACGCATTTTTAGTAACTTTCACGAAGGAAAGTCCAAGTATCGTTCAGGACGTTTTTTGTGTGGTCTATGGTTTTTTTCAGGCCTCTTCATACTTATGGTATAATTTTCTTTCAATTTTTATTTTAGTTTTATCTTAATGAATGGGTTTTATTACTTGTACATAGTTATCATGATTATAACATAGTTATTAATATTACAGCAAAATTAATAATACTAATACAAAAATAAAATTGTAAAAGAGTTTAATAAAATAATATATAATATAATAAGTTATTATATTATATATTATTTTATTAAACTCTTTTAAAATTTGTATCTCATGGTGGCTACGAAGGACTCCTAGTTTTACACTGAACAATTTTTATCACAATTGAAAAAAAAGAAAACGAATAAGCCATTCCTCTGCTCTCACTATCTCTTGATAGGTACGTAAAGGCTACCTGGAGGTAAGATAGGGACTTAGTGGTAGTAATATTTGTATTAAATGATGCTTATATGATTCATTTTATATCTTTGAGGATTTAATCCAATCTAAAACCAAACAAATTCAAATAGTATGTAAGTCGCAAAAGATTGAATACTATTAGGAATCATTAGTTTGATCCTCTTTTAGCCTCTCTGCCTAAGGGCCTTTCCTTGCCTTTCTATATATTGAAGCTGAAACGTTTAACTTTTAAATACAGATACCAAAATGACGCCGTTTACAATGCAAGAACGTGGCTTTGCTCTCGGAGACTCCGTGATGTTCTGGCTGCTGTGTTTTCTCTCATGCATCGGTGGTTTATGGTATAGCATTATCGGTTCCAGAAGAATAGGAATTATGGATCTCAGAGGATATCTCTTGGGTAGATCCATGTCAATATTACCAATTGCTATTTCACTTATGGCGAGGTAATTTTAAATACAAAAAATTAAAATTAAGTGCCATTTTGTATTAGATAGTTTACTTACTGCTTTAAGTAAATTTAAACTTAAATAATCAAATATTATAAACCTATATTTTTGGCTCATTGTTGAGCAGTTTTGTAGGAATTGATGTCTTGGCTACAATTTTAAGCGAAGATATATTTAAGTACTAATACACCTACTTTTTTTAAACTTTTAAAAATATTTTAAATAGCAGTACTCGTACAGTGCAGTATGAATATTGTCATTTAGTAATTCTTTTAAAAATGTTATTTTGTGCACGAACAAGAAGAAGAAGAAAGAAACCATGTTATTTGTTACCAATGCCCTGTGCTGTTACCAATGTAATCTACAATTAGTTTTGAACAGGCGCATGAGCTTTTCAGGCGATGACTGAGTGTTGCCTGTTACTTGAAACTTTACCACACAGAACTAATAAAAGACTCAATAAATGGAACGCATTTTAAAAAGTAATTTGATGCGCATATACGAATCATCATCATCTCAGCCGAAAGACGTCCACTACTGGAGATAGGCATTCCCCAAGGTTCACCACAACAACCGGTCCTGGGCGTACCGGAAGACGTAGCGTTGGTAGGCCCTCCACAATATACCAATAATCTATCTTTTATCTTTCTTTCTTTTTTTTCTTTCTTTATAAAAAGACAACAGTCGCACTAGAAAAACATCCATTGACGCGGAGGACAAACATACATGAAACGGACACAAAGTACACTCAGACTCAGAGCGACAATTAGTGGATGGATCACACAAAGTGTCGTCCCATGTATGGATCAAACCCACAACACTCAGCGTAGTAGGAAGCGGCGTGGCGTCCGCTTAAACCACTACGCCATCCGTGCATCTAAATGCAGGTCTAAAATATGAGATGTTGAGTAGTAGAGTTTGAGACTTTTAAATATTTACTTAAAATGTTTATTTCAGCTATCTATCTGCATTTACAATTGTAGATGCACCGTCTGAGATATATAATTATGGCTTGCAATATTGGCTAGTTGTCTTTGGAATACTTTTCAGCTGTATAATAGTGAGCTTGGTGTATCTGCCAGTGTACTTCACGTTAAGCCTATCATCCTCTTATGAAGTAAGTTATAAGTAAAACTATTGTAATAGTAAATGTATTCTTCAGCTGGTATCGTTATGTCTCCGAATAGATCTTTACCTTATTTTAAGGCTCTAGCTGTGCATAAATATGAGTGTTCATTCTTCTTTGTTTCATTTCCTTTGCGTTGTTATTTCTGTGTGGTAATCAGGAACTAAGCGACACGCACATAGCTATACCTTTAGGAGTAACGGAATAATAAGTATATCTTCTTTCCGGGGGCAATTTACCAAGTTCAATATTTTCTATTTGCGGAATTTAAGATAAAATGAATGTAAAGTTCATAGATTGTAATCGTTCTTTTATTTTACGGTTTTTAATTAAGTACATACTATGTGCTTTTGTGTTTCAGTACTTAGAGCTACGCTTTAACAAGCATGTACGAGCTGTTGCTTCGATCCTGTTCTTATTCGATGAGGTGAGGAGTTACTAATCATTAACGTAGAATTATCATCAAGCAGCTCGAAATTTTTCTACTTTTTTCCTAACCTTAAATCATAATAAAATTACTAGGCAGATAAGTATAGCAGTCTATTTCTTCGTAAAATAAGTATTTAACAGTGCAAAATTTAAAATTAATGTTATTGAACATTTTGTTTTGTCCTTCGTCACAACTATATCTTGAATAAAATTACAATTTCTTCCTTTACATTACTTTTTGTCATATTCATGTTCTCGTTTGTCATCAGTTGGAATTTCACAGCAATATAAGTAATAATTTAACAAAACTAAAACCCGACTGCAAAAAGACAATTTAAAAATAATGCTCTAAAAAGACCGAGGTCCGACAGAAACATGGCTCATTTTTACGCTATCAATAGCTTTAAAACCAATTTATTATTCCCTATTAAATTTAAATATATAACTTATACATTTTTAAAAGCTCGTTTTAATTTTATTGATTTCAATACCCTACTCGATAGGATTGGTTATTTTTTTTTTAACCTAATGCTATTTTGCGCCAAAACTCCACCATTTTGTTTTTTTCTTTCAAAAAGCCATGAAGGGTTTTTGAACAATATCTTAAACGTAGAAACCCATTGAGCCGTTTGGAAGATACGAGGTACCTAATAAAGAAATTTCTAAAAAAACAAACAAGATACCTTCCTTAGCAGTCGGGTTAAAATATATACTCTTAATTTTGCTAATTGCGAATTGTTCAGTATCTTAAGTAAATTTAATTTGTTTTAATTTAAACGTTATGAGAGTTACAGTCATATTTTGTCGTTACAGGTTCTGTTCTTGCCGATTGTAGTGTTTATTCCCGCCACAGCATTAAATCAAAGTTAGTTAAATTGCATTTAATTTTCAATTTGATACCTTTAAAAATGAATACTCCTATAATTTATAGAAACTTTTTTTTTATACTAGTCTTAGATCACTGCAATTGTTTCTTTTGCCAACATTGTAAACACTTCCATTTGTATATTTTCAATTCTTACATTGTTCTACTAATTGAAGGTGAATATTATAACAGTCTCATCCAATGGTAAATACTTACATATTATTGGCCATCGACATTAGGATAAACAGAACACTCAATGTGCCAGTACTGTACGGTACGCACAGTAATTTCGTCATGAGTGTCCATGGCAAAAAATGATCATGAGAGTATTCTTAGCAATAAGGCAAGAAAATCTGTTTAGTCGAAAAGCTGTTTTCTAGACGGGAAGGATTTTTTTTCTATCTTTGTTATAATTAATGTTGTTTTAATAACTTTTCCTTTCTTTCTTTTCTTTAAAAGACAACGCCCGCATTAGGACTATATCCTGTGTCGCGGGGCACTTTACAAACATACTCGTACATACGGGAAGCAGACACAAAGATCACCCAGACTCAGAACAACAATTTGTGGATCACACAAAGTGATGTCCCATGTGGGGATCGGACCTACAACACTCAGCGCAGTAGTTAGCGGCGTGGCGACCGCTTAAACCACTACGCTATCCGTGCAGTCGGATAGTCGGTCATAACTAACTAAACATGTATATGCATGTATCAGCATGAGCGGCTGATACCCTTTTTTGATGTTGATTAAACAATAATATTAACTTACTCTTTCTAGTGACCGGCTACAGCGTTATTACCACTGGAGCCGTTATGGTGCTGATATGTGGTGTATATACTGCATTAGTAAGTTTTGTTATAAATCATATCACTATGGGTCTTTATTTTACGTTGTGATTAGTACAATGACTTTTATGTGGTAACTTTTTTGAGCTTCTCCATAACATAAAAATCGTAAATGCGTTTATTGACAATACGACAATGTCTTACCTATCGCAGCCACAACAGATATTGCACAAAATATTACCAAACGTGTCGTTATATGCTAAACACCTCCTAGATATTATACGTAACAAATCACATCATCAACCTTTGATAGTCCACTGCTAGACGTAGGCCTCTCCTCAGAGAGGAGGTTTTGGCTTACTATACCATGCTGGCCAGACGGGTCGGTATAGGGTTTGTTTCAAGATTTCCCTCTCTTTGCAGTTGTCCTGCGTAGTCCTGTAGTCGGCCCCGTAGTCCCTCTTACGATACCCACGGGTAGTGGACATTCTGTATTCTCAATCCGTCACCACACGGAGGATATTATACGTAAAATATTTACTAAATAAATGACATGCTACGACTTAGGGCATACTGAAAGTTTCTGGATTCTAATAAAGGAGACTAGATATAAGACTTACATGCATTTATTGTTTTTCAAAGTATATTCATTGCATTATTGCATGCATTTTTGCATTCGCTGAAACCACGGTACAAAACAGTTGGACCAGTCTTCCTTAGGGAGCTCTTCAACGGCTTCATAAAACGCATTCACATCCAATTCAGGGCTCGTGAAACGTGTGCCTCTAAGTTTGTCTTTAATTTTTGGCAACAAAAAGAAGTGCAAGGTCCAGGCTGTAAGGCGGATGCGTCATCAGTTCCACATTTGAAGCCTTCAAATAGGCTTCTGTTACCTTCGTGGAATATGCTTCAAGGACGCTTTTCGCGAGCTTTTTCTAAGACTCTTGGCAAGCAAGTGTTAACGTACAAATTTGCAGTCACTGTTCTTTGATCTTCAAGCGATGTTGTAGTGTAATGTCCTGATTTGCCGAAAAAAGAAGCAACTATTTTTACCAATTCGACCCACTTTGCCGACTGACTTTTTCTTTCGAGTCTAAAGCAGTTCACCAAGGTTTCGCTACCTCTCCCTATATTATAGACAGCCAATGACTGTCCTCCCTTAAACTTTTTTATCATTTTACAGCACCAATAGACACGAAGTCGTTTCTGATCCTCCGTTAAATCTTGCGGTATCCGTCGAGTGCAAAGATGCTGAATCTTCAGATGCACACATAAAATATTTTGCACCTCTCTCATTTAAACGCATAACAAAGCACGAATTTGCTGGCAAGTAATGTTCTTGTTAGTTTCAATAAGTTGTCGTACGGTGTCAATATTAGAGTCTGTAACCGTAGTCGCCGGCCGGCCTTCACGTACTTCGTCATGGAGATGATCACGTCCACTTCTGAATTCTCCAAACAACGAATATACAGAGCTGCAACATGGTGCGTCATCACCAAATGAAAATTCAAGTCTCTGGCAATTCTCTTGTTGACTTGAGCCACAACGAAAATCATAAAAAAATATTAAACGAAAATGTTTACGAGTTAAATTCATTTTGATAGCGATACACGATTTTCAAAAGGACGTCGCAATAAAAAAAACAAGCCTCGCAAATTAAAAGGTAACATATTCCCAAAGAGTTCCATTTTCGAATTTCTAATTGTTTTTTCATTATTTTATTATAAGTGGCCAAATCCAGAAACTTTCAGTATGCCCCACGTACTAAATGGCATTCATCCACAAAATAGTACAGTAAAATGGTATAGGTAGTAAGAATACCTACAATACTGAGTGCATTAGCTATTTACGATACGCCAAAAAGTGTGATACAGTACGTAATAAATTTCCATTTATGTTGCAATTACTAAGTGTAATCTAAATCATCTCACATCAATCAAATCTAAATCAAAGAATCTACGTATAATTGTTTCACACTTACACTTATGAATGTGGCAGTTTCTATAAATGTTGTCATTCCATGTGTGTTATGCCATACAGATATTTATGCTATAATCACAGTTATTAATATAAGATTTTTTTAATGTTTAGGGTGGACTTCGAGCAGTGGTATGGACAGACGTGGCGCAGATGTCAATAATGTTGTTGAGCATATTGTTAGTCGCACTCGTCGGCACTATTGTTGTCGGTGGTGTGGTGGCTGTATTCGAAATAACAAGCGTCTCAGGCAGAACTGATCTGAGCAAGTAAATGATATGTATGATTACTTGAATACTTAACAGTTGAATCTCCCTCCGCTCTTTCGTTAGCGTCGTGACTTATGTTTAGTTAAAGTATTATTTCTTTCGTGGCGCGGAGAAACACAGGATAACTTAATTTGAAACTTTGCTTGCTAGCAGGCATTTAAAAGGGTGTATATATTATTATTTAATTAGTTACTTTAAAAAAAAATGCGTTTTTAAAAAAAAACAAGCTTTTATAGACCGCCGATAACAGTAGCGCCAAAGCGTTCATTACGCGCCACCAAGGCAAAAAAGAAGAGCCATAACTCGATAAGTTTATATTGTTCAATAAAGAAGTTGCCGTGGTCATTTGCGGCTTCATCATTTAAACAGCTTCAAGATACTCTATTATTGTATTGTCACTGAAGATACATACAACTTTTGTGTACAACCAAATTAGCTTCCAAAACTCGTGCAGATCACATACATACAAACTTTGCAAGTTAAATCAAATCTTGTAAAATTAGGAACTAGCCACATCAGAAATACATAATTATTAAGGGTATCTAGTACAAGTAAAAAAAACAATGTAGATTCACTTCTATATAAAGTAATAGAAATACAATACTCCACTCGATTACCACGTTTGAAATCACTCTTTCACAGAAATATTTTTCGCAGTTAATGTAATAACCCATATTTAGGAAAATATTATTGATTTTAGATGAATAAGGTAATATTTCTGGGACGAAATACGGTGAGTAGTCTTGGGCTTGCTTCTACTTCATTGTAGTTAGTTTTTTATTAATTTTGGTGTGTTTACTTTGTTATCAGTTGGGACATAATATCTTTTTATAAACGTGAGACGCCATGGGGCGCGCTCATCGGTGCGATGAGTTACTGGACATGTTTCAACTCCGTCAACCAAACCATGGTGCAGCGATACATCGCTTTGAATACTATAGGAAAAGCTCGTGTGTAAGTTCTTACATAACTACTTACAAACTACATTGTTATGGTGACTACTTTACTGCTGTTGGCTTGCTCTGGGTAAAAGCATTTAAGGAGTTTTAAATTCTAATCTTTGTATTACTATTACTATTATTTTAAAATGAACATAAACTACTTAACCTATAACGGGACTAATCCCTCCTACGGGTCCATCACTGTACCTCCTGTACACCAGGATGAACAGCAGTGACCCACGAACACACCGTGTTGTGACCCTGCGGTAGTCCGCGGAAAAAATTGGAACTCGCAACAAAATTAATTAGAAGAAACGTCCAATAAACTATTTAACTGCTTAACTTATACCCGGATAATTAGCAGGAATCATGTTCAAAGATTTAGTTACACATCAACATATAGATGAAGCAAGCGTGATAAAAATATGGCGAGCGGGCTCAGCGTACATATAACTGTTATTTTTCAACTAACATAGATTATATAATTATGTACCTGATTCAATAATGTGACCATTGTACTTGCAGAGCGATAGGTATATTCGGTGTCGGTTCGATAATGACTATCACTTTATGCGTGTATTGTGGTCTGGCTGCGTATGCTACGTGGGTCACGACTGGCTGTCATCCTCACGCCGCCCCCATTGTCGATGATAGATTATTGCCCGCCTTCGTCACATATATGGCCAACAGATGTGGCCTTCCCGGCCTCTCTGGTATCTTCCTAGCAGGATTATTTGGAGCTGGACTCAGGTTATTATTAAGTTACGACGTAACATTTATTCACTAATTTTCTGGTATTCTATTTGAACGACAGTTTGAACTGATAACTCGCAGCGTAACTAATGTTCGTTAAGTCAACCCGAAGTCCTCAGTTCTGTAGGTTACTTTACAAAAATCCCAAGTAATATAAAAAATACAGAAGTGACTTTGTTTGTTATCCTTTAATGGAATTGAAATTTTAAACAATCATCATGAAATTTCATTCAGGTAATTCAGGAATTTCCACAAAAAAAAACTGTACCAAAAGATAGTAAAATAACTTTCACGAATGCGAAGCCACTTGAAAAAGTTAGTTTTAAAGAAATTCTTACCCGGCAATATTCTGCTAATAATGTGTAAAAACGTTTATGAATCATATTTTACTTGTATCCTACTTACTCTGAAATAAACTATTTAAGTATAGAGAGGATACAAAAAAAAGTTTTTTGCCAACTTCACTGAATTAGTCTAATTAATTGTTTAATGTGCGAGTAGTATTCAAGTCTGTAGTTGCATTGATCAATTGAAAAATATCTTACACACGACAGTCTGTCATCCCAAACTAGGCAGAACCTTTATTATAGTAAGTACTTAACCAGAGTGATAAAAATACATTCAGACACAAAAGAAATTATCACACACAATTATTTATCCTGGCTATAAATCGAATTCACCGCCTTGGTCAGTCAGGGTCACTAGACCCTATAGTCTAGTCAGGTCAGGAGAAAGTATTTTCTTGTTCCCAGCTCACTATCTGTAATACTGAACGCTTGTGTATTGGTGATACTAGAAGACTTGCTCCACGGCTGGCTGCAGATACGACTAACGCCGTTTAAAGAAGGCTTGGTTGTTCGAGCTATGACAATGGTATTAGCAATCTTCTCATTGATCATGTTGGTGCTCGTCAAAGAACTGGAAGGAATGCTAGGTGAGTCACTCTAATGTGTAAGGCAATTCGTTATAAATGAGTAAAGGGGTGTTAATTACACTATATGTTCAATTTTTTTGGTTCTAAGTGATATCGAAGCTGAGATATTTGCATTTAAAGATTTGAAAAATGTCAATATTGAACTCTACAAACTTTGTACGATATCTCATACCTACTATAGAATGTATGCTGAATCGCGTTTCTCAAATTGTTTTCTTATAATTTTACCTTATTTTCTTTAAGGGATTTAATAAACTCTTTAGACATTAGTAGAGCACATATTTAAGGGACAAACACAACACAGCAACATCAACAACATCAACGCTCATGTACAAAATCCGTCCAAGCTGCTTCTTCATAGTGCGATCTTTACTTTGAAATTATTTTTCCTATTAAGTGACTATTTTTGAAAATATTTCACCCTTATTTGACTACTATATGAGCACGTAAACATAAAAAAACGAATTAAGTACTTTTAAAGTTTTGTTCGAACGCACAAATACTATTATATTCTACATATTTTTTTTAATTTCTTCCACTTAGGTGTATCAACAGCTTTATCAGCTATTACAGCAAGTATAACCTGCGGCATCTTCACCCTTGGCCTAATGTGCAGCTGGGTGGGGCCACGAGGAGCTATAACCGGTGCTCTTGCAGGCGCCGTTGTATCATTTTACTTCGCTGTGGGATCTCATGTAGCTAAGTCCATGGGCCTACATGAATTACCCATAGGCGTTAGCATGCAATGCCCCAATATCACGAGTTTTCAGAACATAGATGTTAATCTCGTAAGTACAGTATTTAAATTTAGCTCAATTCGCCGATAGTATTGAATAATCGGTGGCTGAACGATAACATTATACTCGTATTAATATTGTGGTTTGTAATGACCTGAAGTGACACGAGAAACGTCATAATATATGACGAAATACGAAACATGAAACATTGATCCGAAAAATAAGAATAATTAGACCTTGCACCTACCGACTTTCACTTTTTCCAAAATTTAGATAACTTTTCAGTGGGTAAAAAATTCAATTCCCGAGAGGCAGTACAAAATGCCTTTGAAGCCATGTCCAGCTGATTTTTACAAGAAGGGCATCGATAAACTGCCAATGCGTTGGCAAAGATGCGTCGATTGCATGGGTGATTACTTCGAATAACAGAAACAAAAAAGTTTGAAAAATAAGTACTTTCACTTATTGCATACAAAACGGCAATTTCATAGGTAAAGACCTAATATATTGTCTACTACTAGTGTCCTATTAAATTTCGAATACGAAAAAAGTAGTTTAAGAGTTTTCTCTATTTTCAACAGGATCCAGAGTCGATATTCCCTTTACTTCGGATCTCCTTCCAGTGGGTGTCACCTGCGGGTCTTTTAACGACTCTCATAGTTGGTGCTATAGTAGGAAGATCGTTTGACGTCCAAGATAAGATCGTGATGGATGCAGAGTTATTTAGTCCGGTAGTGTGGCGGTTTCTCCCCGCGAAGGCGCTTGCAGACGCGGGTGAAGTAAGACTCTCCCGGAAATCCCAAAGTCTCATTCATTCTCGATTTACACCCCTAACTATAACCCCCAAAAACAAGGTACTGTTTACTTCTAACACAATTTTTTAGCTACCTAACAATAATTCAATAATATTTTGATTCTGGTATTCTGGTGAGATGCTTTAACTGATTTTAAAAAAGGAGGTTTTATTTTCGAATGCTTTTTTTTAATGTTTGTTACCTCAGAACTCTGTCATTATTGAACCGATTTAGAAAATTCTCTTTTTATTTGGGATGGTATACTACCCATTTGGCCCGATTTAAATTAGAAGAAAAAATAACACCTCTATGGGGATAAAATTAAGGAATGAAGAATCTAGTAAATATACAATTGATTACTCATCATGACGTAGTCGAATTTAAGTCAGTGTTACTTAATTAAAAAATACTCATATGAAATTGTTTCAGGTAGAAAATAATAACCGGCCTAGTAGTAACAACAATCATAACTAGTGGTAACGTGTAAATGAAGGAAAAATTATTATGTAATTCGAAGATATCTATTAACATACTGTAGCTTAAATCGTTTTTTTTAAGAGATTATCGCTGATTTCGAGAGATTTCCGTATGAATTTAATTATTGGACTTCTTTAATTACACAAGTATTTAATCACTTGTGTCTTTAAAAACCTTAAAAGCTAACGCAGTTTTAGAACTACCGAAATAAAAATATAATTGAACTACAGTGAGATCATAATTAAAAATAGTTTATTTATCAATTTTATTCTTATTTACTGTAAATAAATAATATTATGATAATACAAAATATGTGCACGTAATATTAACAGAGATTTTATTATAACTACCTACAATGTGTTTTAACAAATATCTGTATATAGGCAATATATTATATAATACATATATTGGTTTACAAATAAAGGGAACACTGAGTCGCTGAAAGGACGTAATTTTTTTTAATGGAAAAAACCTGATGGAAAGCTACTGCCGCCGCCCATGAACGCCTGCAAGTTACCAATTCTAGCATTCATATATGTAGAAAAAATATATTTAAAAAACTATTTTATTTCAAAATTATAACCGTTTTTAATTTCCAGGCATTATCAGCTCCGATTCTCATACAAACAGGTGACACGTATAACGTTAAATATTTGAAATCGAGCATATGTTTTTATTTTGGAATTATTCAATCCATTATTGATATTTATTGATTTTCTCATTGATGGATTTATGAATTCCAAAATTAAAAATATTAAACAAAGTTTTTTTCAAAAAAAAAGTTTTTAAAATTGATGAGATGTTGAACGATCGAGAAAAAATGACAATATGCCCAAATAACACTTAAATAGAGGCAATATCATTAAGTAGGATTAAGGAATTTCACCTGTACACTTAGTACATTAAAGTTGTTGTTTTATAAACAAAATTAAGTCTACCAGAGTATATTTTTATCCTGCAATTTTCAGAGGTATAAATTTAGTTACTTATTATTATTAATTTTTCCAAGATGTATGAAATATGTATTATACTGGATCAATTTGAATGCAACTCTTTTTTGCGAAAATTTTAGAATGAGTGATCCACATCGCAGTCTGATATGACTGTGATATGAGGGACACGATATCTTTTGATATAAATGTCTATCAGTATCAATATTGGCACTTCTTTTAAATATGTGCTTAGCAAATGTGGCAAACAAGCACATTAGACATCACAGGTACAGATAACGAAGCGATAAATTCAAAATTACACATGATAATAACTGCCGTTATGCCGTTGGATACTAAAATAAAACTTTCGTGAGTGATATTTATATTGCTCATATTTATAAAGGAGAAATGGTATTACTTACGTGTACGTTTCGGGGATTGCTTCTTGATGATCATGATGACACATGAATCAGTGTGTCACGCCGACGCGGCAGGTTCCTTCGCTTCTTGACGAATCCTCGATCAGATTCGATGCTAGTTGAGCATAAGACAAATGCAAATGTGACTCACGTGTGTACTCGTATTTCACTTACACGTATAAAATATGGGTTTAAAGAATTTATTCTGATAAAAACTTACAGTTAGTTCACTTATAATGAGATACATTGTAATTAACTTATGACTAATACAATATTCACCCTTAGCGTATTGGAAGTTACAATGAACATACATATTTCTTACTTACTTAAATACGTGAGTAAAACGTTAGTTAGTTAAAATAGATACGTCTTCATACTTGTAAATGGTACCCGTTTAAACGTATCCTATATTATAAAAAATGGGACGACCAAGCAACAGACATAGAAATACAGAAGTTTTCTTGCGTAAAGAATATTTTTCATTAGAATAACAGACTAGAATTAAATTTAATTCCGAGAAATATATATGTTTCTGATATAAGAAGAGTTCAAGCCACACAACTATCAAATTAATTGTATGCTCCTATGAACTATGCCATTACTCTAATTCAGGAAGAAGAAAGTGAGAATAGTAGCAATGAGAAGGAGACATACCATACTCTTAGACAGCAATCCTTATCCGTCATTCCTACAATTTGGCTTAAAGTAATAATGATTTATTCCTAAGTGCAAGATCTGCCAAACTAATAGAATTTAGTATAGTTACCGTGACAAAACCTAATAGGTTAAGCAGATAATGAAGCTCCCGCGGTGAGACATCTCAACACAATTTTATAGTCGTCGTAAAAAGCACGCGGCCCATCGCGGTAGACGCCCAATTAATTAATGAGTCAACTTGAAAGTAAATTACGCAAAAGAGACCCAAGGTGTTCAGAATAACGGCACTTACGCCTTCCATCTTAGGAGTTCTCAACGCGAAATAAAACGTTATTGTCTTATCTTGTTGACTTTCATTCCGCTAAATTGTTGGGATGTACAAAATGTGTTTTATGTCCGTGTCGTCGCGTTTTGTTGCCATATCATTTAGAATTTTTATGGCTGTTGTAATTACTTTAAAATAACAATCTGCTTAAATGTTTACAACATGATCTCGGCATTTGTGTAGTTCTTAACCACAATCTGTGTATAATACAATTTAAAATGTGTATTTATATTGCACGTTTGTTAGTTCTATTTATAATAATAGTAATTTAATAGCCTTAGTCGACAGCTTCGCTTACTTGAATGTATTTTGTACATGAATGCAGGTATCTCTTTATTTTTTTAACTTGATGAATGCACCCTATGTCCTTTCTGTAACTCTGACATGTGTGCAAAATTTTAGTTTTTAATTTCAGTTTAGGCGTGAAAGTTTAAAATGCAAAGAAACATCTTTACGTAGTATAAAATAAAGTCGCTTATTTGTGTTGTACGCTTAGATCTTTTAAAGTAAGCAACGGACTTTAATGCGGTTTTCACCGATAGAGAGACTGGTTCAAGAGGTAGGTTAAATGTACAATACATGCATACTTATAGTAGGAAATATCCGAGAATTTCAAAGATTTGTCGTAAAAACATGTTTTTGTGCGCTTACATTATAAACGCTGGCTAAACCTTACGAGATAAACCACAATAATGTACTACGGAATTGTATATCTAAAAAAGATCTAAAAAAAAACCATGATGGTATACTTGTATGTCTATCTCCTAAGGATAACCCACGGTAACCATTTTTATATTTTAAATGTTACATAACAATAATGGGTATTTGCGAAGTTATTTTAAACAATACATTTTTATTCCTTATTAATGTCGATTAAGATTGCTGTTTACAGCATATCATTACAATCAATATTTTAGAAGATATTAGAGGTTTAAAAAATGAACGACTATTGAGCCGTACGTAAGTCCCGGGTGGCAGCGGTCGGCAGGATCAGAGCGGGCCTATAAATATTGCATTCAAAGATGTCCTGTAGTATAGTCTTATCATAATCATCATCAACAGCCTTTAATAGTCCACTGCTGGACATAGGATTCTCCTTAGAAAGGAGGTTTTGGCCTACTATACCACGCTGGCCAGACGGGTTGGTACAGGGTTTGTGTCAAGTTTTCCTTCTTTTTGCAGTGCTGGTGTCCTGCTTTGTTTTGCGCCCTTAGTCGGCTCTTACGACACCCACGGGATGAATTGGGGTAGTGACATTCCGTATTCTTAATCCGTCACTACACAGAATATTATAATAATAACATAATTAATTACTTCACACTGGCACCATATTTGTAGTATCTACATTGCATCCGTGCGAAGCCGGGGCGGATCGCTAGTTTCATATAAAGCCGTACTTTTAGTAGTTTTTCTAGGCATTTTTCTAACTTTCTTTTTCATTTTCACACTTTTTCCTTCCCCCGTCGTCTCTATCCTAAAGGGTTGGGTCTGAATGTTATAAGGGTCTTCCATGTATATTGCACATATTTATAATACATACATATGTGCAGACGCTGAAAAAGCGCGCTCATATCTGAATATGTATTACCAAGACCACTTTCTTTCTTTTGTATTAATAAAAATCTAACAACTATATCTACGTGTGTTAAATCTTCTAAATGTATATACATAAATGTTGTTGGTTTTAGTACGCTTCAAGAACTTTAAAAAGTTCTGTAGCGATTGAACTCATATTTTGACATCGTGTCAAAATTTCAGAACAAACCGCTTCATAGGTTATTTTTAACATTTCTCGTCAGTTTTATTCCTAATCTCTCATCAGTGCAACCACAATGACCACAGGGTACAGGGTACATTAATAATATGAAATAAATATTCACTCTGAACATCGCCATCACATTCTTACGTATCTATCGTTGACAAAGCCGTTCGAATGTTCTCATTTATTACGGCAATCGAGTGGATTTGTGAACGCAGTGTTTGTCCGTTATCTCTGTCCGCATCGAAGGAGTCCTCCCTCGTAGACGGTCATTGGTCAGATTGCGGCACATTTACGCCCCACACCAAGACATTATTGCCACGCTATTCACACTGAAGAAAGAAAGCTTCAACTATATTATAAACGAGTACTTACATGTCCTTTCCCTTTAAATAGTTCATCATCACCGCCTAACTAGAAATGTTCTTAACTGTTATCTTATCATTAAAAGTAAAACGTAAATACGCTTTATTGTTACCTTCTCTTAAGCTTATGTAGTGACATGGCTGTAAGGGATAATAAGACTAATAATGTTAGACCTATTTCTTATTTCTCTTCGTGCGGGTGTCGGGTCCATCGCGTGTTAGATATTTTATAATCAAATGCACATTTATCTTTGTTTTTTCTCATTTTATTCTCTGCCGTGTCTTCAATTTATGAGTTTGCACGAATTGTCAGGAATACGGTAAAGGAGAAATAGAAAAAGTATTACCTTTACTAAAGCGTTGCCGCAAGCTATAGCTAGTGACTCAATTAATTAATATTATAGAGCTGAAGAATTTGTTTGTTTGATTGATAGCGCTAAACTCGGGAACTACTGTTTCGAATTGAAAAATGATTTTACTGTTGTATAGCCCGTGTATCGAGCAAGGCTATAAAGCATCACTCCATGACCACGGAGTTGC